TGTGAAAGGGCCAGCGTGCCCAGGGAGGTGTGCGGGTGCCGGGCCCTGCCCCAGCCCCGCCGTGCCCCTCTCGTTCCAGGGAGCAGAGCCGAAGGTAGCGCTGCCCGTGCGCTATGATGCCCTTTGGTGGGATGGCTGCCCGGCTGGAGAGAGACCGCCTGAGGGCCGAGGGGGTTGGCCAGCACGACAACGCTGTCAAGTACCTCAACCAGGACTATGAGGCCCTCAAACAGGAGTGTATTGAGAGTGGCACCCTCTTTAGGGACCCACAGTTCCCAGCTGGCCCCACTGCCCTCGGATTCAAGGAGCTGGGGCCGCACTCCAGCAAGACACGGGGGGTGGAGTGGAAGCGCCCGTCGGTAAGTGCTGGGCTGGCTTCTCCATGGGCTGGGCTGGCGTCCCTGCTCTGCAGTGTCTGCACTGGTGTGGCTCGTCCAGCTGCAGCCTGGCCCTGGCCTCCTCCTCTTGGTTCTCAAAGTCCCTCAAGTGCTTTATAGCCCCCCTTCCCAGGGGCCTAGAGCAATGCCCCATGAGTGTCTGCTTAGAGAAGCATCATGTCTGGCAGACCCTGCTTCTGGGCAGCAGACTGTGGGCTTTGAAATGGGTGGGCTATGTCATTGCTTCTAGGTGTTGTGGTGTGGATTGTGTCACCCTTGGTCACTGGGGCTTTGGAGGGTGTATATTCCCTGGTGCCATCAGGGGAATGCCATTAGTCCATCTGGTTGTGTCCTCCCGTGGCTACAGCAGAAGATCTTGCCGTGTATTACTGTGATGGCCTTGGGGTTGCAGTCAGGCAGATTTCCCTTGCACAGGGCAGGTGGAGTGCATCTCCTGAGGACTGGATACCCTTCCTCTTGAGTCACAGCTGCAGTGAGTTCCAGCCTGCCAGGAGACCAGGACCTGCCAAGATCCAACACCAGCATCTGATTCTCTCCTCTTCCTGCAGGAATTAGTGGATGACCCTCAATTCATTGTTGGTGGTGCAACCCGGACAGATATCTGCCAGGGGGCTCTGGGTGAGTGCTGGAGCTGTGTCCCTGGGCCTTAGTATGGAGAGCAGCATCTGGGAAGGGTTGGCATGGCTGGAGAAGAGTTGTTTCTGTAAGGCTGAGGATGGACCAGCTTCACAGCACCTTTCATTTTCATGCCAGCTTCTGCACAACCATCTCTGTAGGAAAGGCTCCCTTCCCACTTAGTGTGGTGGAAACTGGAAGGTGGGTGACCCCCTGTGCTTCCTGGTGGCTCTAGGTTAGGGGTCCATGAGAATGGGTTGATACGTGCACAAGCTGACCATGGTCAGAGGAGATGTTGAGTGAATCCATGCTTGACACACACTGACAAAAATGCCAGGGGCTGCTCCAGAGAGCTCCCTGCTTTGGTAAATGGTGAGCAACGTGCTGGTCATGACAAAGTGCTTGCAAAACAATGCAGTGTTGCAGAAGGGAATAGAGAGGAGAGCCATTCTCCAGGGGTGTGTCCTAAGCCAAAGGCAATGAGACACGGAGAGCAGTGTTAGTGGGTTGGTTAGGCTGGCAGGGCTGGCAACTGCGATTTCGTGGTCATCAGAACCAGATCTGGGTACTACCAAGAGCATTGTCCTGATCTGGATCAAGTTGGCCACTTGACTGGAAGTGTTGTGTATCTTAGGATACTCTGGTTTCAAGACTCATCGCTTTAAATACATCCAGTAATTGGAACAAACTCGAGGTGGTAATTGGAGCACATAATGGCCCAAGAGCACCACGGTGGTGTTTGACTGGTCATTAAAAAGCCTGAAATGCCATTTCGTCAAACCAGGTACAGGTTTTCTAGGCTCAAGGCTAAGGTGTGACAGGCTGGAATGGCAGAAGAGAAACCAAGGCAAATAAATTAAAGTGCAGTGCTGGCCTGGAGCAGCACTTGTGGTTAAGAGCATCTGGAAAGAAAAGTGCGGTGATGTTCCTCGCAATTTGAGAAGCTGGAGCAGCAGCGTTAAACCTCTCTCTTGGCAAAGCCTTCTTTTAAATGCAGAGTGTAGTTCTGCTGCAGAACTCACTGAGATGTGGGGGCACTCACAGGAGTGCATGCCAGGAGGGTCTAGATGAACAGCTGCAGGAGGGGGCTGCTGATGCTGGCTGTAGGCGATGGTCCGGACAGAGGTTCCAGGTCAGGAATGCTGCTCTCCAAGACCGGCTGAGCGAGCCTGGGTGCCTGACCTCTGGCTGTTTGCTGGACCCTCTCCAGTTCCTACACAAGCTTTTTTGTGCTGGGGACCCGCAAACATTTGCAAGGGTAGCGTGCCATGGGCTCCTACACATCCACCACCTCTAGCTAGGGAGGCAGCCAGGGCTCACACCAGCTCCCTCTCCTTCCCCAGGCGACTGCTGGCTGCTGGCTGCCATCGGCTCCCTCACGCTCAACGAGGAGCTCCTGCACCGCGTGGTGCCCCATGGGCAGAGCTTCCAGGAGGACTATGCTGGCATCTTCCACTTCCAGGTGGGCTAGGAGCTCCCAGCCCTCTATGGCTGGTGGGATGGGGGCACCCCTCTAGGGTGGGGATGACCAAGTCGTGTGATGTTCCGAGCTCACCCCACTCTCTCCTGACCCCCAGATCTGGCAGTTCGGCGAGTGGGTGGATGTGGTGGTGGATGACCTGCTGCCCACTAAGGATGGGGAGCTCCTGTTTGTCCACTCAGCAGAGTGCACTGAGTTCTGGAGTGCTTTGCTGGAGAAAGCCTACGCCAAGTGGGTACCCCCATGGTGGGCACGTGGGCGGGTGAGGGACAGGGCACCTCACGGTGCAGGGCAGAGGGGAAGGCATCTCTTCTATCCCTGTCCCTGCTTGTGCCGGGTGCCTGGGGAGCAGCAGTGTGCTATGTCCTTGTCACCCCTCTCCCTTGCTGATGCTCAGGCTGAACGGCTGCTACGAGGCGCTGTCGGGGGGCAGCACCACCGAGGGCTTCGAGGACTTCACCGGGGGGGTGGCAGAGATGTATGACCTCAAGCGGCCGCCGCGCAACATGGCCCAGATCATCCGCAAGGCGCTGGAGAGGGGATCCCTGCTGGGCTGCTCCATCGACGTAAGTAGTGAGCTGGGATGAGCCCGGGGCTCTGGCTTGGCCATGGCCAAAGGGAGGCCTCGCAGTCCGAGATGGTGCCAGCAGTCCCCTTGCTGAGACAACAGGTGGGAGGTTGCTTCTTTCCCCTCTTAGCAGAGCAACCTTTCCACAGCCAGCATGGCAGCCCAGGGGTGCAGTGTGTGGGGCTGCAGCCCAGCTGCTGGGAACAGGCTGCTTTGGATGGAATGGGGATGTCCCTCTCAAGTGTGGGCTATTGTCTGACTATAGCTTTGGCCATGTCTTATGACAGCATCTGAGAATTTTCTGGGGTGAGGTTTTCCATCTGTTCCCTCTCATTAAGTTGTTTTTATGCTTTCTGAACTTTGGGTGGTTCCCTGATGGATCTTCAGGGTTCTCTGGTAGGGCAACTCTCTTTAAATTGCCCTCAGCCAGCAGCCTTGGAGCACAGGGAGCTGCTGCAGGCTGCTTCTCTTGGCTGGAGCAGTGCAAAGCAAGAGGAGTTTCCAGGCAGTGAAGGGAAGTGAAAGGGTAGGGATAGGGCTACATGAATTGGCCTGAAGTTACAGCAGGGGAGGTTTAGACTGGATATAAGAAAGAGTGGTTGAGTCACCATCCTTGGAGGTATTCAAGAAATGTGTAGATGTGGCACTTCAGGGCATGCTCTAGTAGCCAAGGTTGGGGATTTTTGTGGTTGTTTTTCGGTGGAGTGTGTGTGGTTGGTTGTGGTTTTGGGGGGGAATTTTGGAGGGTTTTTTTGGTTGTTTTTTTATGTGCTGATGGTTGGACTCATTGATCTCAGAGGTCCTTTCTGACCTTGACAATTCTGTCATTCTGTGAATTCAATCACATTTACTTGAGATTTGCACATTCTCCTTAGATCACAAGTGCCTTTGATATGGAAGCAGTGACCTTCAAGAAGCTGGTGAAGGGCCATGCCTATTCTGTCACAGCCTTCAGAGACGTGAGTTGGCTAGATGGTAATTTAATAGCAATAAAATAGGCTGGCCAGTGGCATGAGCTCAACCTCCTGTGTCTGGTGTCTGGCAGGTGGACTTCCGGGGTCAGCGGGAGCAGCTCATCCGCATCAGGAACCCCTGGGGTCAGGTGGAGTGGACTGGAGCCTGGAGCGATGGGTGAGTTGGACAGGTGGGATGTCAGTCCCACCACTGGCAGGCCAGTGGGCACTGCAGACATGGCATGTGAGAGCATGGCACTGCCCAGGGGAAGTTCTCAGCGTGCAGTGCCCTTCATATCGTAGAGGGGGCAGCTGAGGGCCAGCTCTGAAATGCTCTTAGTTTGCCTTGAGTAGTCTTCATCTAATTGTGTCTCTCCTACTATTCCAGCTCCTCCGAGTGGGACAGCATTGACCCTGGTGACAGGGAAGAGTTGCAGCTGAGGATGGAGGATGGAGAGTTCTGGTGAGTGCCAGAGCAGAATGCTGCTCTTTTTCAGCAGCCAGCCTGGGAAAGAGCAGAGGAGCTTGGGAGAGATCCTGCAGTCCTACTTCACCTGAAACACATGACCTGCCTTTATGAGCTGGCTTTCCAGCACTAGAGAGCCTGCTAGTATTTTCTCATCTGATGTAGTTAATAATTTTCCTGCCTTCAAGGAACTTCAGCCCAGCTAAATGCAAAATAAACATCCAGGAAAGGCAAACATCTCTTCTCCCCCAAACCCAGCAGTGGGCTTTAAATGAGCTATAGCTACCCAGGGTAAAATATATTGCTGTCACGAGATTCTTCCAAAACACTGGCTGGGTTCAGAGCTGCTTGCACTCTCCTTCCTCCCCCGCAGCAGTGCCCTGGCCTCAGCCCCTGCCTGCTTCCCACAGGATGTCTTTCCGGGACTTCATGAGGGAGTTCTCCAGGCTGGAGATCTGCAACCTGACCCCCGATGCCCTCACCAAGGATGAGCTCAGCAAGTGGCACACACAGGTGTTCGAGGGCACATGGCGCCGGGGGAGCACTGCTGGGGGCTGCAGGAATCACCCAGGTACCTCTCACCTCCATCTCTCCACCCTTTCTAGCATGATGAAGCCGGGTGTCTCATCCTCGTATCTTCTTCCTCCCAGCGACGTTCTGGATCAACCCACAGTTTAAGATCAAGCTGCTGGAGGAGGATGACGACCCTGGGGATGATGAAGTGGCCTGCAGCTTCCTAGTGGCTCTGATGCAGAAGCACCGGCGGCGGGAGCGGCGTGTGGGGGGCGACATGCACACCATCGGCTTTGCCGTCTATGAGGTAACCCCTGCCCACCCCTCAGCTGCTTCCTGCCAGTCACACCTCAACCTGGCACCCCAGTCCTCGAGGAAATGTTTCCCATCTGCTTTGTCCAGTCTGTGGCTTAACATCCCCTGTCCTGTGCTCCCTGCAGCTGTAAGGGATGGGGACAGGTACTGGGATTCTGATATTTTTTTCCATTTTCTCTCCTCCCTGCAGGTTCCTGAAGAGGTATGTGCTGAGCTGCTGGAGCCTACCCCCTCTTGGAGGGTACCAGAAGAGAGATCAGGAATGGGTTAATGCACATGATGCGCACCCAGTGCTGTGGGTGCTCCCACCATGCTGGCAGTGGCCAGAGTGCTAATGGGTACTGGTCACCTTCATGTGGGAGGGATGGTTCCTGCTGGGAACCGTCAGGGATGTCTTGCTTGATGGGGCTGCCTTCGATCCTGCCGCTCCCTGTGCATCCGCCCCTTGTTGCAAGGCTATGGTTCACAAGTGCATCCATTTCCCCAGGCCCAGGGCAGCCAGAATGTGCACTTAAGGAAGGACTTCTTCCTGAGAAACCAGTCGCGGGCACGGTCTGAGACCTTCATCAACCTGCGGGAGGTGAGCAACCAGATCCGCCTGCCCCCCGGCGAGTACATCGTCGTGCCCTCCACCTTCGAGCCACACAAGGAGGCCGACTTCATCCTGCGGGTCTTCACCGAGAAGCAGTCAGACACAGCGTGAGTCCCTGCCTGGCCAGAGGAGGCCCTGTGTCTGTGAGCTGTGGGACATTTCCCCACCACGGGCAGCCTGCTGGCTGGGGACCCCACTCATCGAGTTGTTTTCATCCCCAGGGAGCTGGATGAGGAAATCTCAGCGGATCTGGCAGATGAGGTAGGAGCTGCCTCTTTGGTGCCGTTGGTGCTGAGGTTCTGGGTCTTGGGAGGGCGAGCTGCAGGCAGGAGGTGACTTCCTGGGTTTGGGATGTCTCTGGCTGGAGAGGGGCTGGAAGGGTTGAGGTGACAGGGATATGGGAAGTAAGAAAGATGAGAAGAACAAAGAAGAGCTTCCCTTCCCAAAGAGTTTGGGTTTGTTGAGCCTGGAAGGCAGGGCAGAGCCCAGGTTTCATCCTTAACCTCTTCTTTCTGGCCTGTGTCACCCTAGGAGGAAATAACGGAGGATGACATAGAGGACGGCTTCAGGAACATGTTCCAACAGCTGGCAGGGGAGGTGGGTACAGCTCTACCAAGCTCTGGAGGGCCCTGGCCCAGGTCGGGGGGAGATGGGATCCCTAGCTGAGAGAGCTTCAGCCCACCCCACACTCCCTCAGTCTCATCCTGAAGACAAGTCCATCTCTGGCACGGCTCAGCCCAGCTGCACCCAGGGGTGGTGTGACAAGAGCAGATCTGGGGAGGGGACATCCATCTGTGGCCCAGACTTTTCTGGGAATGCAGGAGATGCAGTGGCACCCTGATGTTTTGTGACTAAGGCAGAGGTGTTTAGACAGGAGGGGGGGAAAGGCCACAAGTGGAGCAGAGTGCAGGCAAGTTGTGCTGCTAACTCTGCTCCTGCTGCAGGACATGGAAATCAGCGTCTTTGAGCTCCGGACTATTCTGAACAGAGTCATCGCTAGACGTAAGCGCTGCCCTTCCTGCCCCTTGCTCTCCCTGGCCCAGGCCTGCTGAGCAGGTTGGGTTTGATGCACATACTCAACCTCCTCTGTACATCGTCGTGCCCTCCACCTTCGAGCCACACAAGGAGGCCGACTTCATCCTGCGGGTCTTCACCGAGAAGCAGTCAGACACAGCGTGAGTCCCTGCCTGGCCAGAGGAGGCCCTGTGTCTGTGAGCTGTGGGACATTTCCCCACCACGGGCAGCCTGCTGGCTGGGGACCCCACTCATCGAGTTGTTTTCATCCCCAGGGAGCTGGATGAGGAAATCTCAGCGGATCTGGCAGATGAGGTAGGAGCTGCCTCTTTGGCGCAGTTGGTGCTGAGGTTCTGGGTCTTGGGAGGGCGAGCTGCAGGCAGGAGGTGACTTCCTGGGTTTGGGATGTCTCTGGCTGGAGAGGGGCTGGAAGGGTTGAGGTGACAGGGATATGGGAAGTAAGAAAGATGAGAAGAACAAAGAAGAGCTTCCCTTCCCAAAGAGTTTGGGTTTGTTGAGCCTGGAAGGCAGGGCAGAGCCCAGGTTTCATCCTTAACCTCTTCTTTCTGGCCTGTGTCACCCTAGGAGGAAATAACGGAGGATGACATAGAGGACGGCTTCAGGAACATGTTCCAACAGCTGGCAGGGGAGGTGGGTACAGCTCTACCAAGCTCTGGAGGGCCCTGGCCCAGGTCGGGGGGAGATGGGATCCCTAGCTGAGAGAGCTTCAGCCCACCCCACACTCCCTCAGTCTCATCCTGAAGACAAGTCCATCTCTGGCACGGCTCAGCCCAGCTGCAGCCAGGGGTGGTGTGACAAGAGCAGATCTGGGGAGGGGACATCCATCTGTGGCCCAGACTTTTCTGGGAATGCAGGAGATGCAGTGGCACCCTGATGTTTTGTGACTAAGGCAGAGGTGTTTAGACAGGAGGGGGGGAAAGGCCACAAGTGGAGCAGAGTGCAGGCAAGTTGTGCTGCTAACTCTGCTCCTGCTGCAGGACATGGAAATCAGCGTCTTTGAGCTCCGGACTATTCTGAACAGAGTCATCGCTAGACGTAAGCGCTGCCCTTCCTGCCCCTTGCTCTCCCTGGCCCAGGCCTGCTGAGCAGGTTGGGTTTGATGCACATACTCAACCTCCTCCTTCTTCCTCAGACAAAGATCTGAAGACAGATGGGTTCAGCCTGGACTCCTGCCGCAACATGGTCAATCTGATGGATGTATCCTCTTGGTGCTGCAGGCAGGGACTGGCTCCTCAGGCTTCTCTGCGGGAGCTCAGGCTTGGGCTCTCCAGCCATGCTGAGTTGGTTCAACTAGAGGAAGAAAGAAAGGAAGGGGTCCTTGTGGCTTCAGGGCAACCTGCCCTACAGCCATGGGCTTTAGCAGCAGGGTTTTTTTAAAGATTAATCATTTCCCCAGCTTGCTTTTGACCCTGGCTCCACTGCCAGAAGGCAGCCCAGCCCCACTCAGGACTTCAGCCTTCCCCTCTGGGAGGAAACTCCTGAGGGCTGTTGGGTTCCTTCCCCCAAAACTATCCTGTCCAGTGTTTGAGGATAAGAGGTATAAAGTGACAGGAGCAGTGTAAAGTGACAGGAGCCATGGCCTGTGTTTTTGCTTGCACAAGGACATGCAGCTGAGGGGTCAGCTGAGGGCAGAGGACCACCTCTGAGTCCTTCTGCAGCCTGGCTCTGCAGCATCCCATTTTGCTGCGGGCCAGGCAGTTTTTGCTCCGAGGACACCTCAGTGGGTGTGCCTGCTACAGCAGCAGCACAGCTGTCCCCGGGGAGTGGCATGGCAGCTGGTTTCAGCATTCAACTTTTCTTGCTGGGCTGCAGGCTCTGATTTTGCTGATTCTGCAGGACAGAGAGGGGAAGTTGGGGGGAAAATTGGGCTGGCTGAGCATGGCCTGGCTTTTCTTGCCTCAGGTGTCTAGGATCTCTTGGCTTTGCTTTTACACCACTCCCTTTGCTGGATGCTTTCTCCTTGACCTTCGACTCCCCAGAAAGACGGCAGTGCCCGCCTGGGGCTGGTGGAGTTCCAGATCCTATGGAACAAGATCCGGAGCTGGCTGGTGAGAGGGAGTAGGGGGGGGTCTTGGTGCACTGCACAGTAGTGGTACCCCTCCTGCAGCAGTGGGGTGACGGGACAGCCAGGGTGGAGGCCACAGGAGAGCCTGCCTTTCACATCCCCCATAATGTTTTTGCAGACGATCTTCCGCCAGCACGACTTGGATAAGTCAGGCACCATGAGCTCCTACGAGATGCGCATGGCTCTAGAATCAGCTGGTATGTCTGGAGAAGGATGGGGCTGGGGAGGGGGCTCCTGCTGTCAGAGCTTTGTCTCAAGTAGCTGGAGAAGAGTTCAAGTAGCCTATATTGCCTGCTTGGAGTCAACCTGTCAGTGAGATGTGGCCCATGTCTGCAGTGAGTTCTCTCTGTCTCAGCCATGCTAAGTGCTGGAGCCTTGGCATTAGGGACACACATAAGGTGGTCCCAGCCTCTGTCCTCCTCTGACCTGCAGGGCCCTGTCGTGGCGAAGCAGGGTCTTGGAGTTGACCAGTGGGCTAACTAGTTACGTGTTTTCCGGGAGAGCATCTCCTCTGCCTGCTGAGGCTGGACTCTGTGTCCTTTCTTCCATGGATTGGTGGCCTCTTTGGGTGGGGACGTGGACTTTCATAGTTACATCCTCCTCTCCTGCCTCCCTAGGGTGCTGACTGTCCTCTGCCTTGCAGGTTTCAAGCTGAACAACAAGCTGCATCAGGTGGTGGTGGCTCGCTATGCAGATGCTGATATGGGTGTGGACTTTGACAACTTTGTCTGCTGCCTTGTGAAGCTGGAGGCCATGTTCAGTGAGTGCCAGTCCTGGGACAGGGAGGGCAGGGACAGAGGGACACATTGCTTACCCTGCTTTTGTGCCCCTGCAGGGTTCTTCCACAGCATGGACCCTGAAGGCACTGGCACCGCTGTCATGAACCTGTCTGAGGTGAGAGCTCAGCCTAGTGATGAGGTGGGCACAGAAGTGGGGTGGGAGACAAAGAGACAAGGCACTGAGGTGAATAGGGCATCAGGGGTGGGTGGTAGAAAGCCCTTCAGCCCCCTGGGTAAGGAAAGAACCCATAAAAGATCACAGTGACAAAATGTGGTTCCTTCAGGCTCTATGTTGGAGGGTTATCAAAGTGGACACGTGAGGGCATGCCAAAACTGCACCAGCTCCTGCTCATCCCTTCTCCCTCTCTTTCCCAGTGGCTGTTGCTGACGATGTTTGGCTAGGAGCCACGACAGATCCACTGCAGCTGGGACACCGCAGGGGGGGCAGGCCCCTTCAAGTGCCTCCCCTTGGATCTGTGGACACAGGATACTCTTCCTCCCTTGCTCCATCCCTGGCTGAGCCACTAGCCCTGCCTCCTGGCAAGCATCATGCCACCGTCTCCAGTGGGCCAGGGGTCAAGGCAGGCAGGGCATGCCCTTCTCCTCTTCTGGGCTGGGCTTCTTTCCACTCCCCCCTCCTCTCTGCCCACCCCAGAACAGGAGGAGGGCAAACAGCATGGAGTACCTGTGCATCCCTGCACCAAGCTTGGCAGGAGTGAAGGAGCAGGATAGGGGCCAGCTGTGGAGCAGGGAGAGGCAGGAGCTGCAGGGGGAAGAGATGGGGGACTCGCATCACTTGCTCTAGTGCTGCCCCAGCCCTGCTGGCATGTGTTGCTTGTCTCTGCGCCCATGCCTGGGAGCACCAGCAGGTTCTGCCTTGCCCAGGCAGAGGCAGTGGGTTCCTGGGGGTCCCCAGTGGCCTTCTGGGAGAAGGAAGGACCATACTCTTCTTGAAGTCCTTGCATTGCACTCATCACCACTAAACACGACCAAAGTGTGGAGCCCGTTGGCTCTTTCTGTGTGGCCTTCAACACACCCCTCCCATCTCCATGCCCTTGTCTTTGCCCCACCACTATGTCAAGCCCTGCAACTTAAGCACTGAACGTTTGGGGGCTCCCCTGCCACCCTGTAGTGCAACAGAAGCTCCTCTCTTCCACATGGGCACACAATGCCACTACCATCACAGCGGGTTGGCCTCTGCTGCCCCTGTTCATGGCCCACAGCGCCCAAGAGGCAGTGCCCACCAGAGAGGAGGGAGTGGCAGTTTGGGGCGAGGGAGAGGGGGGTGTTTTCCTGCACACAGTTGGGATTTTCTCCCCTTTCCCTCACCCTCCCACACTGTCACACTCCTTTTCCCTTGGGCTCCTTTGCCCAGTGCGGATGGACTCCAGTGCCAAGGTATCTGTGCTTCTCTGTGCTCCTCCGCTCCCCTCACCTTCTTCTGGGGCAACAAGGTGGCTCCAGCTTGGCAGTGGGTGATGGCCCATCCTTTGCCCTGTAGAAGCAGGCAGTTAGCTTCCCCCAGACCCCTGTCGTCACTGGAGGATGTGCCTGCAGCAATAACCACTGCTGCCCACCCAGCAGCTCCCCTTCCTCACCCCGCTCACTGCGCACTCCGGGAATAAACCAAGATCTGTTGGATGTGTGGCCTGGGCAGTCACTTGGGGTTCACGTCCTCCCTCTCTCACCACGGCCTGGGCTAGGGGGCATGAGATGCAGAGCCAAGTCTAAGGCATCTTGCTTGCCCAGCCTGGGGTGTGGGTGGTGGAGGAGCACCACCAGGTGCAGGTCTTGCCATGGGGATGGGGGGGTTCACGTCTCCTAGGGTTTTATAAAACTTTGCTCTTATTTTGCAGGGGGATTTTGGCACTGGCAAAGGGGCGGCAGCACCATGTAAGAGAGGTGTAAGGGAGCACTGCTTTTCAAAGCAAGAGCAAGCAGCATGCTGTTAGCAGGGCTGTTGGGTTATTCCAGGGATTTTTCAAGTGGAGGAAAAGCCAGTGCTTGCTCCCCAGTGTTGGAGGTACGAGGACTGTGTCACTGCCAGGCTGGGATGAGGAGGCTGGAACAGCTTCTCCTCAACCTCTGCCCAAGGGACGTGGGTGCAGCCATGCTGCTCAGCTGGTTCTGGCCACAGTGTCCCAGAGGCCTCCCTGGGGCATCAGTGGGTGCCTCTGCCATGCACTCAGATGGAGTAAAGGGTCACTGTCCTGTCCCCCTGCCATACCAGGGGCCCAGCAGCAGCTGAAGGCTGGGTTTGGCCCAGCAGATGTGGTGCTGGGGCAGATGATCATTGCTCAGTTTGCTGCAATGGCTTAGCCCCAGGGGCAGCACTGCCTTGCACAGCCCCTTGCCAAGGTCTTACCTGCTGGTGGCAGAAATGGGGTCTGCTCATAAACAGTGCTGTCTTGGGGGAGCTCAGGAGGGGGAAAAGTGCTCGGGTAGGATGGAGTTAACCATGGAGTAGGTGGGAGGCAGCCTGGAGATGGACCATGGAAAGGGACCATATCAGGTTTGTGACCCTGGATAGGGGCCTCTGTTTCTCCCTGCTTCCTTTGAGGCCATACATATTACAGTTGGAGGCAAAAGCCTTCCAGGTAAAGGACAGTGGAGGGCCAGGTGGTGGGTCTTTTCACAGCGTGGCTCAGAGCAGAACTTACTGTCAGCATGTGCACCCTTGCCTCTTGCTGGCATCCCAGATGGGCATCACAGCCCAGATGGCCCCAGGGGTGCTCAGCATTTGGAAGAGGAGTGTCCTTCACACCTTATCCCTCCCTGCACCTCAGTATCCCTCATATGGGTGTCCGATGGCAGTCCAGCTCCCTGGGACCAGTCTCCTCACAGTAGGGCAACACCCAGCTCTGGGGCCAGATGACCTGGCTCAGAGCATGAAGGGGAGCTGAATTGCTCCAGCAGGAGGGAGCACCTCCTCAGCCTGCTGTGTCTTTTCCAGAAGATGCTGGATGGAGATGGGCTGCTTGCACTTGGCTTGTGGCTATCTGTGAGCTGAGCAGCCCTGTCTGAGGTACCTTAAGGCTTGCCAGCCTGGGCTCCCTGCTTCTCTGTACTACCCCAAAGGCTTTGGGAAATAAGGGTTTGGGTGTGATGGGACACAAGGGCAAGCATGCAGAGCTGTCATCCGTGTCCCAGCTGTGGGGCCATGTCCAGCACACACAGGGCTGATTGTAGGGCGCAGTGATGTCCTGGCTTTGGGATGACAGGTGCCCCTGGCATAGACTTACCAGAAGCCCCTTCCCCCCCTCCTTCTCTGCGCCAGCTGGCAGATCCCTTCCCTCAGTGGCCCTGGCAGCTGGCAGGCCAGGATCAGTTTGGGGACAGCAGGTGGGGGGTCGCCAGCTGCCAGCTAATGCCATGGAGAGTAGCCTGGCTTGTCCCTCTCCCTGAAAAAGGGGACAAGGAGGAGGCCCAGCAAAGTCCTTGAATGCTGGTGTAAGCTGAGGTGCAGGAGGTGGCTGGGGGCCAGATGTGGCCAAAACTGCTCTTAGCGTAGGGTTAGTCTTGCCATGTCCCACAGGTCTGCATTGGGTGGGAGCGCACAAGGTGGGCAGGCAGCATTGCTGGGTGCACAGCACCACTGTTCCTGCTCCCCAGTATCACAGCATCCCCTCCTATACCCCTGTGTCCCTGCCTCCTGCAGCCTGGAGCTGCCTGCTCACCCCAGGGGTCCTCCTCCTCCTGCCAGCTGCTCACATCCATCATCCAGGCACAAGAGGGGGGCAGGACCACAGCCTGGCCCCACCTGGCCCTACCAGCTGCCCCGGCAGCCGGGCACTGGTCCTGTATCCCCCTTGGGCTGTGCTTCGTTCTGCCATGGGCCCGTGGCCACAGGAATGTCATTCCCACGGGCACAAGGGGCCTTTGTGTGAGTGGAGTCAGCAGGCTGGGCTGTGCCCCAGCCCAGCATCCCCACTGGGGCTGGGGAGAGCCACAGCTGAGGGTACGTGTGTGGGCAGCAGCTGCCACCAGCACAGCCTCACAGCTCCCAGCCAGGCTCAGCCGTGTCTCCACTGCTATAAGAGCTGCCAGGGATAAAGTCCCCCTCCCCATCCTCCTCCTCCCTCTGGCACCAACAGCCAGGCAGTGGGAGCATCCTGCAACCAGGGCAGGGCTGGCACTTCCTTGGTGAGCCTCAGCACACATACCAAGGGATGCCGTGGGCTCGGCCACCCCAACGGGTGTGGGAAGGCTGGAGATGTGGGGTGGGGGCCAAGAGCACCAGGCAGCAGCTGCTGGCTTTGGCTTTCCTCAACAGCTGCCATCTCAGCGCCAGCAACAGGGAATGTGCATGGGCTGGGGCTTTCCAGGGCCTGGCCACGGTGCGTTAAACAAACTATTTAT